GTCCTGACAGTGCCAGATGATGCTGGATGCAAGCAGTGGGCGCAGGCAGCTGTGGGTCACTGCCACTGCCAGCCATTACCATCTGATGTGGTTCGGGTTGGAAGCTTGTTGTGCCTGCTGGGCATGTAAAGAGGGAGCAGATCCTTCCCTTCCTGAGCTCGGCCACTCCAGGTGCCCATCTCTTCTTCTAAAAGGCTTGGTCTCTTCTGAAGTGGCGGGGATGAAGGCAGGGCCCCGTGCTGCCTGGCCACCCTCCTGCTGGAGTGGAGAGTAGGACCTGGATGGCCAGGGAGGACACAGAAGCCTACTGTCCCAGTACATTAAGGTGCAAAGGGGAGCAGAGGGGAGCAAGGGGAGGGGCAGACAATCACTGGCCAAGCAGCTCTCTACAGCAGGAGAAACCATATCAGTTGCTTCTCGTCTGTGTTACCAGGAAAGGAGGCTGTGGGGTGTCAGGCTCAGAGGCCACCTAGCTAAAAAAAAAATGACCTCATTGTGTGACATGGAGGAAATGACTGCAGTATGTAAGTGAACCTACAGCACGCACGGTGCAGGAGGCTGTTTGCATCATTGAAAATGCTAAAGTATTCACCCCACTGAAGGACAAAGTAGGAGGCTCCCTGGCCATCATACTTAGAGTGCCTATTATAAGCACTTAGATTTATAATCACAAGCACCAAAATTAAGACGGGCAGTGGTGGCAGAAAGACAGAAAAGTAGATCAACAAAACAAAGCAGAAGATTTAGAAATAGATCCATAGAAATATGTCCAAGCAGGGCTGGGGAGATAGCTCAGCAGCGTAAGTGCCTGCCTGGCAAGTGCAAGGTCCCAAGTTGGATCCCTGGGACTGCACAAAAAATAATGTCTAAATGGCTTTGGCAAAGGACTACCAGCAGTACAAAGGGGAAGAATAGGTACCAGATGGAGCTGGGACAGCTGCGCCGCCACCAGCATGGGGTGAGCCACCACCCAAACTTCACACCTGAAATAAAACTCAGAATTAAATGAAAAATGTGAAATCATAAAACATTTAGGAGGCTGGGGAGCTAGCTCTATGGTCTAAGTATCTACCTGGCAAGCTCAAGGACCCAGTTTTAACTCCTAGCACCACATGCCAGCAGGGCCCAAAACCCTGGGCTTATGGCACCAGCCCCAAAACCAGGCATGGTAGGTAGCACACACCTGTAATCCCAGCCCTGGGGAGATAGAGACAGAAGGATCACTATGAGTCTTAGCTGCATAGTGAGACCATGTACCAAATAAATAAATAAAATTTAAAGCATTTAGGGCAAAAATCATTGGCAAAAGTCATTAAGGAAGCTAGAATTAAGTAATCAGCGTCTCAGCTCAGCTCTGTGAGAGTGATATGTAAAGGAATCTTGAACCACTGGACCTCCCCCAAATAAGACATTCTATTTGCAAAGCAGGAGGTGGGGTTGGAAAGATGAGCTTCAGCCTGGGGGAAAAAACACGTGGAAATTCACGTCAGGCAAAGGGAGTGAGCCTAGAATATAAACATAACCTTCAAAACTCAACAATGCAAACAGTCTAGTTAGAAGGTGGGCAACAGACAGGAAGAGACATTTCATTAAAAAGCAAGCCAGTTCATGGAGGGATGTGTGACATATGTGCCCCAAGAAAACCCTAATTAAAACTGGGTACCAGTCAGAGTGGCTAAAAGGAACCTGTAATCCCTCCAGATGCTGCCGAGGACTCTGCATCACACATGGACAAAGAGGACACCCCTCTGTGCCACCCTCAGAGTCAGGTGAGAAGCCCTCCTAATGAGATGGTGCAGCCAGGTTCGTTTTCATGGCCAACTGTGGTATTTAAATTTGTGATCAGTGTTTAATGCTCCTTTCTTCAAACTGACTGAAATGCTATTAGGCTTTCCATAATGCATTCTCTCTCAAATGTTAAATCAAGCCCTCTGAAATACTACAGTGAGGGAGAAGGAGTGAGACTTCTGTCCCTGTAGGTCTGTCCTAGATGTCTGGGGGCTGGGCACTCTGTCATCCCTCAGGTCAAGATGTTCCTGGCCACAGTGGTCCCTCCAGGACCTGGCAGACCCGTACCGTCTCGTTCTTCCAGTTGTATCTCTGGAGGTGGCTGCAGGTCAGGAGTGCTCCAGCTGTGCCTTCTCTCCTGGCTTCCATCTGGCCTCAAGCATGGGGAAGGTTTGACATAGTAGCCACAGAAACAAGGAGCCTGGGATTATTCAGCTATCATTTCATCCTGCAATGTGCTCCTGGGTCTTTCTCCAACAGAAATTAAAACATCTACTCAAGAGTAGGTTGAGGGCCTGCTTAGCTAGAGGTCTACCCCTGGACCTCGGTGGGGTCTGAAGTTGTCTCCATGGAAACCAAACATTTCCTTAGAGGAAGAACTTCATCAGGACTCTGAACCACAGCTAGGTCTCAGATGGCTTCAAGTAGGTGATGCAAAGCCTCTTGCAGTTCAAATAACAGTTTCCAACTTCCCTTGCAACTTTTACTCCTGCTAGTATAGTGAGTCCTTCCAATCCCAGACACAACCCTAGCCAGATGTGTGCCTCCCTTCTCTGACCCAATGTCCTTGTTGACAGAGAGACATGCCCTCGAGGACCATTTCCTGTCCCCACCCCACTTCCCCTTTCACTCTGTGCTTCCTGACCACCGTAAGATAAGCAGCTTTCCTTGCCACAGGCCAGCAACAAAGAAGCTGGTCAAGCATAGATGGAAGTCGTGAAGCACAATAAACCTTTCTTCTTGTTAATTCACTAGTACCAGGTATTTTGTCACAGTGATAGAAAGGTGACACACTACCTGTTAGGACTGTTACAGAAATAACACAGATAAATGTGAAAAGGATATGGAACAATGCCACGTACCCAGAACACACCAATTAATTGCTTGCAATCTGTACAATAGTAGTATCGTACAATGTCAAACATTTCCTAAAAACTCCATGGTAATTAGAGAGGGAAGAGGCCATAGTGGGCCAGAAATGTACAATTCCTACTGTCAGGGCCCATTTTTCTCCACTAAGATGAATGTACATGAAATATTTCCTCTCCCCACAGGTCAGCTATGTGATTTGGGAGCTGTTGTTTCTTCTGAAGACAGCTAGGCAGAAACACTTGAAGTCAAAATGGTCTTGACCTTTTTCTATTTGAGGAGTTACCCTTATCTGAGGTTTTAGTTACGCAAGCCAACTGCAGTCCAAGATTATTCAGTGGAAGATTCCAGAAATAAACAATTTATAAGCCATTCAGAGTGGTGGGGCAGAATTCCATGCATCCCCCTGCACCTCACCCAGGATGTGACTCACCCGTGGCCACTGGTGAGTCCACCCCAGATATGCTTCCAGCCCATTTGTCACCAGTAGTCAGTGCAGCTATCAGATCAAATGTCCTGGCGTTCGAGTGGCCCCTGCTCTACTTATGATGGCCCTAGACCCACGCACTATGGCGCTCACCCTCACAGTCAGCAAAGAGTAGCCGCGTGCTGCTGCCTTCGGTGAAGGAGAAAATGCAGTCTGGTGTTTCAAGAGGGGCCACATTGACAAAACTTTTATTACACGGCATTGTTGTAGTTGCTCTTATGATTAGTTCCTCTGTTCATCTCTTCCTGTGCTTAATTTATAAATTAAACCTCCTCACAGGTGCGTGTGAGTGGCAAGGATTGTATCTGTGGGTTCAGTAATGGTCAGGGTTACAGGCATCACTAGATGCTTGGAGCACCCCCTTGTGTACTGGGGTCTATGCCATGCAGCAGTCCCTGTCCTGACTGATGTGCAGTGACCTCAAGCCCAGCAGTCACACAGTGCAGTCAGCCTTACTCTCCTTCCCCCAATCTCCTGCTGACTCTGCTGCCACCCCCGCCCCCGCCCCCACCCCAGCACCTGGATGGCTCTCTTCTCTACAAACTCTTAGTTTGTGCCCAGCTGATTCATGTCCTGGTGATTTAACTGATGCCAAACGCTAATGCCACCTCTAGGTTACCCTCCTCTGTTACCATGTGACATGGAGAGGGGCAGGGGTCTGTGGTCCCCAGTCCTGCAGAAGCATGGTGGGTTGGCAAACCAATGCAGAGGGGATAGCAGCTGGCCTTGATGACCTGTTACCTGCTACTCTGATTGCTTTCAGACCCAGTGGCAGGGCTGAGGTTCCTCCAACCCTGGATCTGGCTGGATCCTGTTCCACCCACACTTTTGCATCTTTGTACCTTACTGGTGGATCTTAGGCTAGAATATGAAGTCCTTTGACTCTGCTGAAAAACCTATTCTAACAGAAAATGTCAACTCCCATGGGTGGGTGGGAGAGACCAAAACTACCTAGGCCCACAGTTCAAGCTGATCTGGGTGTGTGTGAGTGGTCAGCCCTTGTTCACAGAACCCAAAGCCCTCTACAGAATGGGACTGCTGTTTGGAAACAAGGACCAGTAATGCACCAAACACCAAATGCTACAGGGAAATGACCAAACCAAGCCTTGGAGCGCATTCATCGAAGACCAGCCTCTACACGTGAAGAGGGTCTTGCACATAGGAAGTGCCAGGCGAGTCCAGTGTCGAGGGACGAAATGTGCAGAGAGCCATCCAGGCCCACGGTTCTGGGCGCTTGCCTCTTGGCCAGTGGTCGTCCTGGGCTCTGCTGCCTCATCAGGAATCTTGCAGGACCATTTCAGGGAAAAGAGAATGAGGGGAGGGCAGAGGAAGGGCTGAGGGGGTTGATATGTATTTGTCCCAAGCTCCCCAAGCAAAGGTCACTGTTATGTAGCCCAAATGTGTAGCAGTAAAATTAATTTTTAAAAAAATCAAGTGAACAAATGGGAAAGGATAGGACATGGGGATACTCTGCTTTAGTTCTTTGTGAAGGTCAGAAAAGAGCTTCAAGATCATCTCAGCCGAAACCTCATGGCTAAGGCATGAGAAGCAGGCGGCACTGGGTGTCCGGGGTCAGGCCAGCATCTCCCTTCAGCTCTGAGAGCACTCGCTTGCGTCACCCTGCCCATGCTCAGGTCTGGGGAAGGATTGGGCATCTGCATGGGAGCCCAGCAGCAATGTGTCCCAGCCTCTTCAGGTCTTCAGGTCTCTCTAAAAGCAAACAGAGATGTCACCTTGCCAGCCACCTCTCAGACATTACAAGTGGGCAGCTGGAGGCCACCCTGAGAGCTCTCCACCATCCCTGGGGACAGACAGGGTTCTCTGCAGTGATCATCACTGCCCAAGATGGCCCCCAGAGCTGCCCTGGGGATGTCCCAGGTCCTAGAATCACCTCCCAAGCTCTGGTTTGAGTTGGAACAACTTCATTTCAAGCCCCAACTAGACAGAGAAACCTGCCAGTGAACAGGAAGCTGTCAAAGCACAGAACTGCTAAGTGCCAGACAGGATGGTGTCTGAGGCGTAAGGGCTCATCAAAGCACTCAGAGAGACAGCTGAGACCTGGGGAGCTGGCAGGGGGTGGGAGGCTGCTTCAGAAGGGTCTTTCTGAGTCACCTTGGTATTTGGTTGGGAACAAGTGTGACCTCCTGTAGGCCCTTGGAGGTCAGGGTCAGAGATGACTAGCACATCCCAGGAAAAGTTCCTCGGGCAGCAAAGCTGGCAACAGTCCCAGACACTCACCCATGCTCTGAAGACCCCATGTACCAAAACCAGGAGGGCCCCATTAGAGAAATGGGAATTAAAACAATGCTGAAATGCCATCCTAGTCCAGAAAGGAGATCGAGAAATCCAATGACAAATGCTGCAGAGAGTCCACTGTTGGTGGGAAGGTAAGCCAGTAAGAAACATCCAACTTAGAAGTCAGACTCATTCCTAAGGCCAACAAAGTGAGTCCTACACACCTTGGACACAAATATACAGTGTACACATTACAGTGTATATATGCACAATGTACTTTTCGGGGGGGTGCAGCACTAGAGATTGAACTCGGGACCTTGAGCTTTCAAGGCAGGCACTTCTGCCACTGAGCTGTCTCCCAAGCCTCATGCACAATGCATGATACTTTGTGCTTCCTAGAGACCCCCTCCACATCGCCACTGCTTTTCCTCTCACTCCACACAGCAGCACAACAGTGACCGGGCAGACACGTGAGATACCACCACGATTTGTTCACATCTATGAGTATCTGTAATGCAAGGAGGTCCATTCATATCTGCTCACAACTCCCATGTTTATAATTCAGGGACTTACTGTACAACCACTATGGAAATCAACACGGAGAGTCCACCAAAACCTAAAACTAGAAACCATCTGACCCAGCTGCTTCCCTCCTGAGTACCTTTCCAGCAGGGTTAAAGGCATCCCACTACAGCGACCCATGCCACCCACGCTGTTAGCAGCATAACTCACAGCAGCTAAAGCTTGGAAGCAGCTTCTACGTCCATCAGCAGATGAAGGGATAAAGAAAACATGGTGTCTACACACCATGGAGCACCACTCTGCCATATAGAAGGATGAGACCACACTGTCAAGTGAAATAAATCAGACACACAAGCTGAAACATCATGTGATTTCTCTTAAGTGAGAGCCCTGAAGTACTAACAAATAAAGAGCAAAATAAAAGGCAGAAGATAGGAGACAGGGAGACAGATTTTCCTAAGGCAAAAACAGTACCAAGGGGTAGAGGGGGAGTTGGGGAGGAGAGGGGGCATAAAAAGAACAAAGCCATGTGAAGGCCAATGCCAGGAGCAGTTTTAGAAGATCTTAAAGCAGCTTGGTTGCCAAGAGTGGTGGTGCATGCCTGCAATCCTAGCACTTGGGAGGCTGAGGCAGGAGGATCCCAGTGAGCTCAAGGCCTGTTTTGGGCTACACAGCGACTTCAAGGCCAGTCTAAACAACTTAGGGAGATCCTGTCTTTAAAATAAAATAAAATAAAATAAAATAAAATAAAATAAAATAAAAAATAAAATAAAATAATAAAACAAAACAAAACAGGAATAAAGCAATGTGGCTACCAGAGGCTGGGGAAGGAGGAGAAGCTGTTCAAAGGGCAGGAGTGATGAGGTGAGGAGCGTGTTTCAGACCTAGAGAGAGGCCACACATCGGTGTCACAAGGGCCACAAAGTGTTGGACTTTACAATGGCTCACTTTTGTCATGTAAATTTTACCTGAAGGAAGAAGGGCAAAGGTCTTAGAAACTAGTCCAAGTGATAAGAGACTTAGCCTGAAATGGAGTCAGCAGACACTGGCTGCCCGCCCTCCAGGCCAGGGCTTAGATCCTGCCCTGTGACCCTGCAAGCACACCCTGTCACCCCACCTGCATACCGCTGTCCCCTGGTCACCTTGCAGTGGAGCCTGGAACGCCTTTCCCTGGAGTCCAGAGCCCAGGAGTCCTGGCCCCTTCTACCCAGACACTCTGAGTTCCTCTCAGGCTCCCAGCAAGGGGCAACATCATAGGGGATACTTGGGGTCCTCGCCCCAAGACTGGCCACTCGTCCTCTGCTGTGTGATGGCCGCACCCACCAAGGGCCTTGCCCAGCCCAGAGATTAGCTATGCCCTGAGCCACCAAGTCGCTGCTGGTGGGTCCCCAGCAGAGTTCCTCCCTGGGTTCTGGAGCCTGCATGGGAGGGAGCCAGCACACACCTCCATCTGCTCGTGGATCCAGTCCAGGAAGGAAGTGATGCGGGTGTAAACCCCGGGCTTGTTCACATCTGCGCAGCCGATGCCGAAGCTCGTAGCACCCACCAGCTTCCACAGCCGGCTCTCCTGGCACACCAGGGGCCCACCACTGTCTCCCTGGTGGGCAAGGGGCATGGTCAAGGACACAGCTCTGCTTCCAAGGCCCAGTTGCCACACCAGGGGAGGACTCAGGGAGCAGTGCCCTCCCTCAGCACCAGTGCAGACAGGGAGGCTGGGTAAGAAGCCCTGCCCCAGGAAGGACAGCTGTGTCTCCAGCACCTTTCTTTCCCATGCCCTCGAGCAGTGGCAGGGGCCTGTCCTATGGGCTGGATCACAGTGCTGAAGGCTCAGCGGCCAGGGCCACCCTTACCTGGCAGCTGTCCACCCCACCCTTCAGGTAGCCGGCACACAGCATGGACGGGGAGATGATGCCACCGTACACCTCCCTGTGGTTGCAGATCTTGTTGGAGATGAGCGGGACCGCTGCGTGGTTCAACACAGGGGATGCATCACCTGCTCCAAACAAGGGCAGACCATAGTGAGGAGCAAGAGAGGTGCCGAGGGCAGGTGTCAGGGCCAAGTGACACTGAGGGCAAGAGCAGACCACCAGTTAGGACTTGGCGCCCCTGAGGACAGGGCTGTATGGGGGACAGAGGACTCCCTGAGCCTTGCACCTCACCTAGATCACCGCTCCCTCACAAGAGGCCCTGAGCTCCATGGGGCCCAAAGTGGAGAAGGAGGTGGAGCCACAGCAGCCCAGGATTCCTGCCCAGGGTTGTCCTGGCCCAGGCCCTCAAATCAAGAAAGCAGAGCCAGATTTGCAAGAGAGACAGAAGCTCAGGGAGGCTATACACAGCACCTGCAGCTGTCAGCAGAAAAACATGTCTCTATAGACACATGTGTCCCAATCCCCAGAACCTGTGACAGCTGACCCAGCCAAAGGGGCCTTGCAAATATGGTGGGGTGCAGAACCAGAAAGGATAGGAGTGTGGTGCAGGGAAAAGGCTCAGAAGAGGAGATGTGGGGCTGGAAGCAGAGATCAGAGTCACAGATGAGTTTGAGGGGAGGGAGGGCCCTGGAGCTCAGGGCTGCAGCCCGACCCTACCCAGGCCCCTAGGAGGAGCCAGCCTGTCCACCCCATTTCCTAGTGGACTGCTGTTCTCCAGGATTATAATTGTGCCACTCTAAGCCGCCAAGCTGGATCTTCCTGTTGCAGCAGCCACCAGAAAGTAATACAACTGTGTGGGCCAACCTCTTAGCCAACATAAAGGGACAACCCCCCAGGATGTCCTGAGTTACAGAGAGCCCAGGCAGGAGACGCCTTGCTCTCTGCCTCCAACAGGTGGTGCAGATGCCACACAGGTCCTAAAAACCTTCCCTTACATGCACAATGAGTGTGTCACCTCGCATTTTTCATGGGGATGCCCCAAATCCTCCCATACCTCTACAGCCCTCAACAGGACACCCTGGCCTGACACTGAGCTGAGAGGTCAGGGGCAGCTGCCACCAATCCTCCAGATGCCTGAAGAGCAGCTGAGGTGAGGGGGAGGGGCAGCAAGGTGGAGCCCACGCCTGGCACCAGCTGGTGGCGGAGTCTTGGGCATGGTGCCTGGGTCCCTCACCCTGTATCCCCACCTACACATGTACACAAGGATACCCCACATGGGATAGGGGCAGCTCCAAGGCTGAGGGTTCCATATATGAGTGAAGCTTCATACAAAGAAGGGGGAAGATCAGGGCTTCAGCCAGTCCTGTGCAGGAAGGGGGGTGCTGGGGCCTCTTGTGGGACACAGAGAATCCCAGGGGCTCAGATGAGCAGGTCTGCCCAGCAATTCTGGAATTCCACAGAGGAAGGAGCTATCCTCCAGAGACCCCTCTGCAGAGCTCAAAGGGATTAGAAACACTCTGCTGGGCCCATGTCCCCAGTGAGTGCCCCCAGGAAAGGAAGAGGAGCAGAGGTTGGTTTTCCTGCTCCTCCACAAGCCACAGTCCCAGTTCCAACAGAGCCAGGACCCTCTGTGCCACCATGCTGGCACGGGCTGCACTTGGCCAAGTGCGTGCTGGCTTGAAACTGCCAAGAACCAAAGGATCCTGAGCCAGGGTGGGCACCTCCAAGAGTACTGGGAGTGGGTAGACAAGGAGGGGCCAACGGCCTGGAGCTGGGTATGCCCCATGTCCTTTAGGAGAGACAGGCACAATTGACAGGTCTCCAAAGGAAATCCCGAACCCCTAGAGTTGGGAAGCATGTCCTTATTTGCAACTGAGTCTTTTTCGTGTAATTAAAATGAGAGTCACAAGGTCAGCTCCTGTACTTGGTGGCCTTAAGTCCAGTGTGCCCATCAGACAAAGGAGAGAGGCTCTGTGATCCCAAGACTTTCTGGGAGGCAAATGAAGATGGGGACTGAGATTGGTGTGACTTCTCTTCAAGCAAGGGACCCTGAGGATGGCCGAGCCACCAGGCCCCGGAGAAGGGGCTAGAAGAGGCCAGAACTGCCCACGCCAGGGTCTCAGACTTTGGCCTTTAGAACTTCAGGACAATAGGCTTTATAGCTCAAAGTTCCCCAGATTGGATTGGCTCATTACAGCACTACAGGAAGCTAATATGTTTCCAGCAGCTAGGGCAGTGGTGGGTGTGATAGCTGAGCCTGCTGGCCCTTCCTGTGCCTCAGCAGTCAGGAATGCGGGCTTCATTTACATCTACTGCAAGCATCCTCAACACTGCCGCTATCATTGTTGCTATAGCAACAGGGTCACCTTGGATGGCCTGTTCTACATGATCTTTGAAGGAAGATGTAACACAACTTCCACCATCCCACGGGCACACATGACACTGGTTACCAGGCACAAATTTCTAAACAAAGGTATCCAGGTGGCTCCATATGCATTTGAGGAGGAAGGAGGGGGAGAGGTATGGTGGGGGGAGCTGGTGGGGATGTCCCCATTCCCTTCAAGTGTCAGCCCCCTCCTGAGGTTCTGAGACAATGAAGTGCCCTTGATGACCCTGAGCTGCAAAGATGGCTGGCAAGAATCATCACCCCCAGCTGGGCTTCTAGCTGCCCATGTGGGCATCATGATGAGACATCAGAGGTCCCCATCCCTGCCCCAAGGTTCTGGGGTCTTGGGATCAGAACGGGATCTCAGACCACTGACCTCCATCCTCCGTGGCCCCCCATCCTGACGTCCAGCACACTGTGCCATCAGGAAAGTTCTCTTCGGAGTTGGGCAGGCAGACTGGCTGAATCATCTCTGTGGACAGGGGAACAACAACCTCACTTAGCGGGCAGTCATCTGACCCAACCATCGACCCACTGTCTGTGTCTCCCAGGAGTGTGGCGATCATGATTATCCACTGCCAACAAGAGGGCTACAATCCCCTGCAAGAAGTCTCCCCCTGAAGCCACCCCACCCTGCACACACCCTGCAGTCCTAAGTTAATGCCCTGACACTCAAAAGAAACATAAAAACCTTTGTCACAGGGAAAGGGGGCCTCCTAGATATATGATATAAGTGGTCTTGTCAATTGGCGATTTTGGTATACTTTGGCTGCCATGCATGTATTCCTGGAAGGCTTAACAAGGAACCAGATGCCCCAGGAAACACACTTCTGAGACATCCCATAGGCTAACTCAGACTCTTCCCCAATCAGCACTCCCTTGTAAAAACCCTGGCCTCTCCCATGTGATGATTCCTCTCCTGAAAACAGGCCTCTAGCCTAGCCAGACCCTCACAATGTGCTCTCATGTGAATCAGCCCTTTTCTTATTCTGATCTTGGTTGCTTCTTTTTCCACGTGGTCATTGCCCTCCACATCCAGTCTTGTAGGGTAAGGGGCACTGACTTTCTCCAGGGACAGCTCGGGCCATAGGCTCAGAGCAGGGACATCTCACCCTGTCCTCCACCCAGGGCCCCTGGACAGTGCCGTGTGCAGTCTAGATTGGCAGCCTTTGGAACAGAGGGCCGAGAGCACACAGGCTTCAGCACTGGGTCTCTGCACTGCCCCAGGACTCCGCCACCACAGCGTGAAAGCCTCCCCTGGAAATGGGCCAGGAAATGGGTGTGACGAGGTTCCAAGAGAATGTTATTAACCAAACTGGGCCATGGGTCAGGTCTGGCCTGTGGGGCCCCTGCTGGTACAGCCTGGGACTGCGTCCTCTGCCTTACAGAGCATCCATCCTGGGGTGTTCCTGGCCCTCCTGACCTATCTGGAGCCACCTGAGGCTCAAGCAAATGTGGGAGACCTGCCTGAAACCAAGGCCTCCCTGATGCATGGGGTCTTGAAGCAACAGGACACCCACTGAATTGTTAGCAAAGTCCAAGTGTCGGTGTGTCATTTCTGGTGAACAAGCACCGTGAACACTGCCCCCCATAGCACCCATAGCAACATCTACCTAGAAATATGTCCTCCACAAGGAGCACAGGCATGCCACCCCATGTCACCAGATTTGGCTCCAACAACTCTTTGTCTCCTAGCCAAATTGTGCAGGGTACAACTGAAAATGTTTATCATCCCAAGAACCAGGAAAGTCACAACTTTAATGACAAGCACAATCAGCAGATGCCAATACCCACATGAATCAGACTCATGAAGCTGGGCTTTCCAATAAGGTTTAAGCAGCTGCCATAAAAACACTTCCATACACAATCACAAACCCTCTTGAAACAAATAAGCCCCAGACAACCTGAAAACCCAGAGGTACCGTCGAAGGTGAGTGGCCCGGCCAGCTTCATGAGGGCAATGTCGTTTCCCAACCTCTTTGGCTTGTATTTGCTGTGGTAGATGATTTTCTCCACCAAGTAGGAGGGCGCTGGGCTGTCCAGCAGTGAAACCAGGCCCACTTGGATGGTCCAGGACTTGGGGAGGTACAGGCTGAAATGGACAGGCCAGAAGGTGAAACCAAGGACAAAGCCAGCCATGGGACACACTACACTCAGGTGCCCTAAGGTGTCCCTGGGCAGGAGGTGGCCCAGGGCCTGGCACCTTGACCACACTCCCAGGAAGTCCCTGGGGAAATGCAGCTGATGACTGTGTGTGTCCAAGATAGACTTCGCTCCGCACCCAGTGCAGTTCACATCTGCAAACAGGGCTCGGCTCTCAAAGCAGCCACCAGGACTGCCTACCAATAGCCACCATCAGAGTGGGGGAAAGGAACAGGGAAACTGCACCCTTGTGACGAGGGGCATTCTTACCCCCTACTCCCCAGAAGAGCCTATCCTGAGGGACTCAGGGGCCTTCACGGGCTTTCACTGCACCCCACACTGCACGGCCTCACCCTGCCTCAGCCTAGCATGGCCCGCTGCATGCAGTTAGCTGCCGAAGGCCAGAGGCTCAGATCTCCATCCTGTATATGTGCTTCCAGCCTCTCTGTCCCTTGGTGTGAGTTTTGTGTTTGAAGCCCTGCTTTAAACTCAGGTTCCTGTCACTCTAGTATGAAGCCAGGGTTGTGGGGTGGAGGGTAGGTAATGCAGTGGGACTCAGCTGTGGCGGCTTTGCCTGCCTGGCTTCCAAACCTGCTCACTGCCCAGCTCAGCCCTGACCCGCATGGCCCAGGCCCAGCTGGGACCTGGAAGCCAGGAACCATACCAGCAAGCACTCACTCGTAAACGCAGTGTGCAGCAGTGACGATCCACACGGGTGTGATGACCGAGCCCCCACACAGGTGGTAACCTTGGAACTGGAGGCTGACCTGCCAGGGCCACTGTGCCAACGAGGACTCATTCCCACCAACGATGCGTGCACGGTAGCCGGTCCTCAGCCCACAGACTGCAGAGGGAGGGCAAGGTGTCTGGGGAGACTGCAGGCTTTCCAGACTGCTCCCCTGAACCCTGCTGCTCCCACCCAGGACCACGGGGGCCTGAGGACAGGGTGGGTGTGGTGAGCAGTGTGGAAAGTGGCCCAGAGCCAAGACCCCCTTGCACTGGGTCATGAGACTCTGTGTGATAGTGACCCCAGCATTCAGAGTCTGTAATGACAATATTCAGGATGTCAGCCACTACCCCCAGTCTGCCAAGGTCCCTGACAAGGCTGAGGATGCTGGTAGCATCTCCCCTATACACCTTATCCAGACCCCACCCCTTCAAGGGGAGTTCCTGCTGGGAAAAGGAGGCAAGGCCACTGGAGAAGCCCAAGGGGAAGGGGACAGGGAGCCAGACTGCTGGGGACTGCACATGGGGACAGAACCTCTAGGCCTTAGGTCCTGCCTGCTGCAAAGAAGCTGCCCATTTGGACCACTCCCCACCCTACAGGTGAGAGTGAACCCACCTCTTACTCCATTCCACCTGACACTCCAGAGAAAAAGGCTCAGAGAATGCTGGGAAAACGGGGCATGATGCAGTGAATGCTGGTTCCACATGTTTCCCTGTGTGTCCAGAACACTTACCCACACACTTCAGGGTGACCACATGGCCTGAGGCACATCCATCCCTAATGTGGAGAAATGACAGGCATCGTGGATAGTAGAAGGTGTGACAGCAGAATACAGCAAAGGTTCACATTTAAAGCTTTTATTACAGTAAAAGACCCATTGCCGTGGGTCCGCTGCAGGGTACGCCTGAGGTCACATCCTGGCCACTTTCTGCAGCAGCTCTGAGTCTTCTCTCCTGAGCATCTCTAGCTGAGCTGTCCTGGCTGCCTCAATGTCCTGAATTGATTCAAACTCTTTTCCTGGTCATGATCACTTAGACTTTGGAGAAGAGTCAGAAGTTACACAGTACCAGATCTGGTGAATAAGGTGCATGAGAACACAGCATTATGTTTTTATAAGCCTGCCCTTCCATGGGGTGGCGCTTGGTGGCAGAGTCACCTTAATTTTGATTATACCTCATAAGGACCCTCAGGAAGAGTACTCCAGAGCTTCTGCAAGAAGTGGCAAGGACAATGGGATGAACGTGTATGATGGAGGGAGATGTTATGGTTTGTGTCTGGTTGTCCTCCCAAAGCCTCATGCAGTCATGGGGTGGTTTCCAGAGTTTGTGATTAATTCATGATCCAATGCTGAGATCATGGGTATGAGTCTACACCTGCCCCGGGGTGGGTAATCTGCTACAATATAAGGGAGGGAGAGAGGCTTGCTAGCAGCCGCAGCTGCTGCTTCTCCCTTAGCTCTTTGCTGCTTTTCGCTGCCAAGAATGGCTGCCCTCTGCTCTGCCTTGGAGCCAGCTGAGTATGGACTGAAACTTCCTCTGTGAGCTAAATAAACTTTTCTTTCCTTAATTTTGGCTGTCAGGTATTTTGTTCAAGCAAAGAGAGAAAAGTAACCGAGACAAGGGAAGGGTCTGAAGGGGATCTAAAGTGATGTGTCTTTTACAGTAATAAATGTTTTATATTTAAATATTCACCATATATTTTGGCCTCTCCTTGTATCTAAGGTCTACAGAGTGAATATTTTTCTCTTTTACTTGATCTTGTAAATGAAGAAAAATAAATTTTCATTCCCCTTACTCTTGAATAAAGATTACAATTTTAGTCCATGTTGAAACAGAAGCAAGCACTGCTGGTGGGCTCCCCGATGCACAGGGAGACCTCACCCACTAGAGTATACCTGGGACCTCTAAAGTCACATGGGTGGCATCTACACACCCACTGGTGCCACCTGTGTCCATTTCCCTGGTGTTCTTCACATCCTGACCTGGGGTCACGCACTAGGGCAGGCCCCAATGATACCCACCCCTCTCCAGATGGGGACAGGGCCCACTGTGAGGCCTTGGAATGAGGGACTGGGGGGTCCTGAAATCTCTGCAGTCCCAGTTCATTACACAGGGCACTCAGGACCCCTATGCAGCCCAGGGCCCAACTACACAGACAAGGAAGCCGTGGCCCCAGAGCAGAGAACTCGGGCCTCAGCGCAGGGTCCCAGGAGTCAGGGAGAGCATGGACTCTGGCACCTGGCTGCATCTGCTCTTTACTGACTAAACTAGAAACCGCAAGTGACCCCTCACCTTTGTCACCAGGTGATTGTCACAAAGGACACCAGTTTCGCTTCCCTGTAGTTGCTGGGGAAACATGCAGAATAAGCACTGAACCCTAAAGCACCCCTTAAAGAGCAGGGCAATCGCTTTCCCCCACCCTCCGTCCCTCCCTTCCTTGTTTCCCTATTACCAAGACCCAGATATAGCTGGCGTCCCTGCTAGGTGACCCCATGCACATCTGGTCTACTCGCCAACTGCGTTCCCTTCCCGCTGTCCACTTGACTGTCATTGCCCGGATAGGGTTCAGCTCCTGTTCCCCAACCAGGCCCACCCGGCCTGTCCCCATCACGGCTCCACAAGCCCAGGCAGCAACCTAGCAAGGTGTGAACAACAGCACCTCCTGCTTACCTCACGTACACAGAGTGGTGTAACACGGTCACCTTGTCATCCGGCAGGAGGTGGTTGATGGACACAAAGGCTCCCTGGAACTGTGGCTCAAGCAAGTCCACTCTGAGGTCACCTGAGCTGACGTAGCTGCAAGCACACCAGACACAGTCCCCATGGGGGTCTTGACTCCCCCACCCTCCACCAACTTGTGCTCAGGCACAAGGCTCCAGGTTTCGTGCTTGGGGAAACCCCTGTGTCCACTGGCACTGCCAAAAGTACACACAGCTTAGCAGGGTTCCCCCACCAGCATGGTCTGGGGTGATGTGCTGTCTACCTCTTCCCTGCCACCCAGCTTCCCCTGCCTCAGGTCAAAGACCCTTCCTCAGGCCCTGGAGTCCCACTTCTGTTCCTGCAGCTGACCTGGCCTTTGCTTGACTTGAAAGCAGGAATGCAGAGCCACATGCAGAACCAGGTGTGGCATTGTCAGCTGGCATCCAAGTAGATGCCAAACACCAGAGAAGGTGGGCCTGGGGGACCAAGACCTTCCTGGTCTGCCCAGAGCCAGCCCGGGGTGTGTGTGTGTGTGTGTGTGTGTGTGTTTCGGATGACCCAGGAGTCCCAGGACCAGGCAAGTGTGTAGAGCATCAATGGCTTGAGGTGAGGAGAGGGTTTTAAGGGAGATTCATGGCAATGTATCTTTTACTCAATTTTTGAAACATTCACTGCATTCTTTGATTAGCACAGATATAATGCAGAAAGCAGACTGAGCAGAGACCACAGACGGGAGAAACTGCTCTGGGACCAGGTCTCATAAGAATACGTCATAGGATCCCTGCTCAGTGGGGAGAACTTGTCCCCCACAGGCTGGGGTGGGGACACGGGGAGCTGCCCACTGGTGCAGTGCCTACGTCAGCAAGCTGGGTGCCCTGAGGACCAGAAGACAGGTATGGGGCAGAGCCTTCACCCCAGAGGGGGAAGAGCAGAAAGGAGGGCTCAGTAGGAAGCTGAAGCCCCTTCCAGGGAAGTATCAGCCTTTGCGGCATGTGCATACACACATGTATGCATGTGTGCACATATGTGTGCAGGTGTGCATGTATGCACATGTGGGTGCACAAGGTGAACTTCCTCCTCCTTGGCTCTGAGGCGCAAAGCATGGCATTCCAAAAGTTCTGTCCAAGTGGTGTGGAGCTTAGAGTCACAGCTGGTGTCTGAACCTGAGGTGGCAGGATTAGGGCAAGACAGTCTCAGGGACATATGTAGGGGGACATTACATGCTCCCCTGGCTTTACACAAAGGTGACCAAGCAAATGGTGCATCACCATTGATGGCTGAGACTCTGACACCCTGCCCCCGGGCCACACCAGGTCGCACATCCAAGGCCACTATGGTCCCCTTGTTCTGTCCTCAAGTTGCCTGGTGGGAGTGCTGAGGGTCAAGGGCAATGAGGGTGATGCCAAGGGCACCCACAGAGGTAGGGGAGCCCTCGGGAGGCTGCAGGGAGGCAGAGCCTGTGTCTGGATGGCAATGTGTTGCTCCAAAGTCAAAAGTCACCCAGACAATGCCAAACATGGGAGCAGAAAATCCAGGAAAACAGTTCTTCCACAAGTTGCTAAACAGCATTTTGAACAACTGTGTTCTCACAGAATCACAGGCTTTAAAAACCTGGCTCAAGACAAGCGCAATGGTTCACACCTGTGATCCCAGCCCTCTGGGAGGCTGAGGCAGGAGGATGGCAAATTTGAGTCCAGCCTAGGTGACCAGGAAGATCCTGTCTTAAAAAAATAAAAAATGAGGCCTGAGAGTATAACTCAGTATGAAGGCCCTGGGCTCAGTTCCCTGTACTACAAAAAAGAAAGGAAGAGAAAAGGACAAACCCTAGCTCCTCAAACCCTCAGGGAATAAGACCCCAGGACCAGAGTGGCTGTGTCCAGGCTCCTGCTGAGGCCTAAGAAGAGTCCTGACCTGCACTTGAGGACTCTGATTGGGTCCGTGGCCTGTCCAGACCTCAGTTTTCCCCTGCAGTGGAGCTCTGGGCTGCAGACAAAGAAGCTGCCCTCCTGGGTGCCCTTCAAGCCGTGGCTGCCCTGGGTGGTGGCCGGTGCCTGGCCCTTACCTGGTGAAGCCCAGCTGGGCACAGGCTACACCAGCGTAGCTGTCTTTCCAGTCGTCCACACACATGGTCCTCCAGGCGGCAGCTGTGAACACCTGCAGCACAGCGCTACGGCCGCTCACCCGCACTGTGACAGACATTGGACGTCAGGCTGACGGCACCACACTAACCTGGCCTCCCCCAGCAGCCCCTGGCACCAGCCCTTAGCCCCACAGAGCAGGTGGAGTGCATCGTCTGCACCCTGATTCACACAGAGGCCTGGTCTCAGCCATGTCCTCTCCCAGGAACAGCCTCCCTGAGCTCCCACCCAAGGCCCCAGGCCCTAGTGCTGGTGGATGAGGCAGGGAGCAGCCACAGCTTACCACATCGGTACTCATCCTCCCCGTCTTTGCAGTCGGACACCCCATCACAGCGTGCTGCCAGTTCAATACACTTAAAAGATGAACGACACCTATACTTCCCGGAGCAGTCAAAGTGGACTAAGAGAAGACAAGAGTGTTCACAAGCAGCTTTGTTAGTGCAGAGCACTGGCAACTGTCCATGTGCCACGGGACAGGCAGTAAGCTTGCCATGAATAATGAAACCTGTATTGAAATTGCATCCCTGTCAGCAGCCTGTTTCCTTCAGCTCGGTTTCTGTTCTGACTTTTGCGGGGTGGAGCTGCCGGGCCCCACTTTGTTGCATGATGAAAGTAAATTTACACACTGGAGGGCTCAAGGTCAGGCAAGCAGGACAAGGCCAAGCAAGGAGCCCTGAGTGGGTTCCCCGGGCCACCTTTGCTTCCTGGGCACTCGGCTGGACAGGAACAAACTAAGGGCTACACAGCCACTGCAGGCAAGTTAAACTCCTCTGTGGTCCAGCTCTTTGAAGGAGAAAATGAGAAATTGTTGCCAATCAGGATCTCTTCTGCCAAATGACCCACTTTCCCTTGCTCAGAGAGCAGCAGGTGCCCAGCACCCATGAATGGGGACTTTGTCTCCTCCACCTGCCACCCCGCCCCAAGCAGGTCCTATTTCAGTGTCTAAATGACAGACACAGATCCCTGTGTGGGCTCCTCAGTGATGAAGCCCTGAGCATGGCCAGGGCAGGCTCCACAGGTTCAAGCCCGCCCAGTGCCCCAGCACCTGCTAACTAACAGACTGGACTCACCGCCCAGGCCAATGGCCAGTGCCAGGATCAGGGCGATGATGCCCACCACGATGATCGGGAAGAACTTCAAGGGCAGCAGGGACAGGATCTGTGCGGCCATCGCGTCTGCATCTGGACCCAGGCAGGAGCAAGCACAGGAACCAGAGAACACTGATTTTGAGGGGCTTAAACCCAAACTCAGCTGTTCACCTCCTTCCTCTGCTCCAGGCCCTGGAAGTTCCCACTAGAGAGAGGAGCTCCCTCAAGAAGGGCAAGTTCCCTTGCTCACCCCACAGTCTCCTCTGACCTGGCCTGGTTCATCCAGCCTCAGCTGGGGTCTACACTTTGGGCTGAATACTGTCCCCAGAAAGATGTGTCCTGCTCCTAATCCCTCAGGACTTCAAAAAGTCACAGCACTAAGAGGGGCTTTTGGGGGGGGGCTGTCCACAGAGATTGAGCTCCAGGGCCTTTGCACTGAGTAGTATCACACCAGCTTTTTGTTTTACTTTTTAAATACAAGATTTTACTAATTTGTTAAGCATCCCAGATTGGACTCAATCTTGCACTCCTCCTGCCTCAGCATCCCAGAGTGCTGGGGTTCCAGGAATGTGCCAGCACGTCTGATTTAGAGGATCTGTATAGAGTGAGCAATTAGGTAAGATGAGGTCATTAGGGATGACCCTAATTTAACATGCTTGTCATTGTTATTAAAGGAGAAGTCGGAAGCCAGGCTTGGTGGTGCACAGCTGTCATCCAGCCCTTGGGAGGCTGGAGCTGGAGGATCACTGAGTTTGAGGCCAGCCTGGGCTTCATAGTAGATTTAAGGCAGCCTAAACTGCATAGCCAGACCCGGTCTCAAAAAAAAGAAGAGAAATTGAGACAGAGAGGTAGGCATACACAGAGGGGAAATGGTGACAAGGACAGCAGGAGCAATTAGTCACATGAAGGTGAAGGCAGATGGCCACGTCTACAGCCCTGGGAGGCCAAAGGCTGTTCACAGATGACCAGAGCCAGGAGGAGCCAGGGTCAAGCTCCACAGCATTCAGGGGCAGCAAGGCCCAGCCACACCTAGGATTTAGACCATGGTCCCTAGAACAGAGAATAAACCTTGCTTCTTTCAATAACCCAGCGGTGGTGCTTGTTATCAGCAGCCTGGGGACACTGGTCTCAGCCCCAAGATACTTGCATAGCAGTCTGCACCCATAAGGTTGAGGCCACGTGCCACTGCTCACAAACAGGTGAAATCTCAGGCCCTCAGTGCACATAGGCTGCACTAGGACATTGAGGAGAAGAGGTAGGCACACAACAATCCAGGAGGGAGGGCACTGGCAGCCCCATCCTCCCAGGGCCAGCCCACATGGCACTGATTGTCCCTTCCACCTGCGAAGCACAGCCACGCTGAGGCTGTTGAAATTAAAATCTAGGAGAGATCTCTGGCAGAGCATAATGCCACATGCCTGCCATTCAAGAGACTGAGGCAGGAGGATCTCTGTGAGTTCGAGGCCAACTTGGGCTATATAGTGAGACCCTGCCCTAAAACCAAACAGAAAAATGTAGGCAGGATGGGATCTGCAAAGGGGACAGATCTAAAGATCTCCCTGCCTCTGCCCTCAGAAACCACAGTTTTGCCCTCTCAGTACTGGAGGGATCCAAACACAGCCAGAGTTATCAGAGCTGCCTGAGACAGAGAAGCAAAGCAGATGTGGAAAAAGAAACTGAATGGGGAAGGAGAGAGGTGAGAGGGAACAGGAGACCGAGAAGGAAATGAGGCCCAGGCAGTCGAAGACAGGAGAGAGCTTTGGGGGGCTGGTTTTAGGCCTGGATGAGCCCAGCAGTGTGTTCAGGGCCCAGATCAAGAGACTGCTATAAACATGTGCGAGATGAATGGCATGATGAATGGATGACAAAGGAATGAGCGAGGAAGTGAGTGAGAAATCTCTGTGCCTGCCAGGGAATGCAAGGCTGCCTAGGGCTCACTCCACTTCAGGGTCCCCAGCACTCTGACCCTCATCTCCACTGCTGCCCAGAGAAGGCAAGCTGGGCCCCATTGGACCATTAGCTTGTGGCAAGTGCCCACCTGTGTCCACCAGGAAATGACACCAGAAGGCTAAAACACAGGGGAGAAGAGAGACCAGGACCTGCACCCCTGGGAATGTATCCTAATGGGCTCTCTTGGGTATAAACCTAAGTTTCTACCTACAGGGACATTAGGAAGAGTGACACTTAGAACATGAACAAGAGGTGGGAGGTGGAGAATAAGCAACAACATGCACCTGCAGTGAGACACTCGTGCGCATGCTTGACATAGTGTAGAAGAGAGTCGGCAGATTCGGGTTCTCTGTGAGGAGCTCAAATTTTAGGGGCCATCTGGCCTGTCCAAACACTTGGCTCTGCTATTATGGCACAAACTTGGCCAGATATAGAATGCCAATCAGCGAAAGTGTGTGTCCTGATAAAACTTTATTTATAAAAATAAGCAAAGGGCCAGATTTGACTCACAGGCAATGCTTGAAAAATACTTAATTATGTAAAGCCACAGAAAAAGAACTCAAAATTGTTAAGTTTCTTTTGAAGAGCTTCAGAAGGTAAAGACATAGAAAAAAGCAACAAGTCCAACAATAAGGGTCAATAGGATTTTTCTGAGAAATGATACAAATGTGAGTTTAAAAACCTTTTTGGTTATGGGTATATTATCTAAATTTCTACCATCAAAATGGAAAGGATTAAAAACACTTTTGTTGGGTCCCGGGAGATGGCTCAGTGGAATAAGCGCTTCCCTGGCAAGCACAAGGACCTGAGTTCAATCCCCGGTTCTGCCAATAAATAAAAAGAACTAAAAACACTTTTGTTCCAGGGAGGATAGAGAGAAGGGAAAAGGATTTGAAAAAGAGAAATTAAAACGTATTCTGTCCATGCATCAATTCCCCAAGGAATGTAAACACTGTACCACAGACTTTCATAAAAAAATAAACAAACACATGAATACAAAAAATGTGTGTGCCTTCACATTCCTAGGAATTAATCATAAATAAACAATCAAAAAAGTAGAAGGTGGGAATGTGTACCACACTCTTCGTGTTCATATTGAGATTATAAAATATTAGAGACAGTTACAGGTCCAGTGATGGGGTGGTGACACAGGCTACACTTCTGCATGGTACAAGTCCCAGTGATGTACAGACCCTTATAGAAGCCAGGGAGCCTGTCCAAAAACACTGTCCCATCCTATGCTGTGTGAATCCATACTTAGAGACAGACATAAGAGCTAAGTAGGACCTAGGGGTCAAGGGATGGAAAGGTTTTTCTTCTTTCCATTACTTTCATGCGAATTTTAAGGCACATTTTAAAATCGTGTATCTCTTCATTTACTGAGCCCTCTTCCCCCACTGTCCTCTGTCTATCCCTCACACATGTCAGCTGTCTGGGTGGCTTACAGACCAATAGGGTCATTCTTTCACTTCCAGAACCTCAGCCAGCACTGTCTATGTTCCCTGTTCCCAGGTGCTTCCCGGAGCAGCAAGCCCCCAGCTCCGCTGGGCACTTCCTGATGGGCTTTTGCCCACCTGGGCAGATATTGGAGGATCTCATCTTCACCAGACAGGCATACAGCATTTACAAAGTAACTTCCTTCCTCCAGTTGCTGAGAGCAGCTGTCGGGTACTGCTGGATTTTAATCTAGACATTAATCCTTTTGGTGGTATACAGACAGCTTGTTATAGGGTTTCATGAAGGGCTGTTGGCCACTCCTTCCAGGACTCCCTGGAGGGCTCAGCGCTCTTCTGGCCAGGATCTTCCCTCCTCCAGGATGGACCAGGGCCACTGTGGAATCCTGATTTCTGTAAACCCCCAACCACAAAGTAAAATACCTGTGTCTAGAGACTTAGGGAGCAACTGAGCAAAATCGCCCTCTTATCTCTCTGGGATTCTACAACCAAAGGCAGGCAGGTGTCTACCTTGGCATGACAGTGTACAGGGAGGAACCCTCCACCCTGTCCCTTCAGCCACACCTGTCATCTACGTGGAGGGCCAACATCACCAGCTTCCCCTTGGTACCACCTACCTGGTGCCACAGGACTTATTTTTAAGTCATCAAGACCAAACAGTGACCGGAAGGAGAAGGGTGCCTCAGCTGCTGGTGGGTCATTCTCCCCCATGGTGACGATCTCAGGGCCTCTGAGACTGGGCTCTACCTCCACCTCCACCTCCTGCCCCAGGAAGAACAGAGGTAACTATTGCCCGAGAACAGTGCCAGTGTCCCCCGTGTCTGTCGTATTCTAAGTCCTTCAGATCCACACAAAGGGACTCAAGAACAGTTAATCAAAAATGCTTCTTTCCCTCTGAACCAAAAAGCTTCTAGAATTAGAAAAAGACCATAAACTTAACCACCCCCACCCCCCACCAGGACTACATTTCCATCATTGGTTTAACCAATCTTAAAATCAAACAGCACCTTCAAAGAGAAGCCCTTTTATCAGTCAACAGTGACTATGTCAATATTCTTCAGAAAATAAGGGCCTTTTAAAGCCAGGGCCCCTGTATGCATGACTCTGTGTAGCCATAGGTGCTGTCTGTCACAAAGGCAGGAAGTTGATACTCACATAATGCTGGGGTCCCCAGATGTAGGTGGCTCCAGGGAAGGGACCCTTGGACACAGCGTCAGGATCTCCCTGTGAATACGGCCCTTCCCTGCCGCACACAGGCCTGACCTAATTAAGGATGAAGCATCCGGCCTCTAGGACCAGGGCCTCCCCCACATAGTTGGGTGAGGAGTGGCTGGAAACTGGAGCTTGTGCCAAGGCCACTGAGGGACTCAGTTTCCTATGAAACTGGGCTCAGTGTCTACCTGTGGAAGGCCAAGAAGGCCAAAGAGCCCAGTGCGGTCATTCCCAGGACTCTGGGAAGAGCCTGGGGAGAAAGAGAGTACAGAGTTCCCGGGCACCTTCTGCTCACTCTCTGGGGGCCGTGCCTGGCTTCTTGGGCTCCTGCATCCCTGCAGATCTGAGATCTGCGGAGTCCCTACAGGCTCAAAATCCCCGATCCTCAGGTCTGTTTTTGTCTTCCTCCTGGCTGCCCATTATCGAGTTTAAGACTCCAAAGGCAACTCTGAGCCATTTAAAAGGAACTTTGCTTTCCAAGGTCTTAGTAAAACCTAACCAAGGGAGGTTTATGTACAAAACTGTTCTTGCCCGTCTCTCCCAGGTGCTGCCTCAAGGGCTGCCTTAGAAAACTAACCCTTTCACATCCAACGGCTCCGGCTTTGGTTCCTGCAGAGCCTCATGCTCCCTGCCAGCACATGGCGAATTCCATAGCTCCTCTTTACGAAAAAGAAAAAAAAAAAAAAAAAAAAAAAAAAAAAAGAATTCACAGGGAAACACTTCCTGAAATTGGCACTGCATGAGAGGTACCCCCAGCGTGCAGAAGAGCCCCTCAGGTGCCATCCGTCCCCACCCCACATCACTTACCGCATCTGGAGCTGCCATGGCCTAAAGCAGGAGGAATTTCCTTGTTCATGATAAAAAGCAGTGAGGCTGGGAGCAGCTGCCAAGGAACAGTCCGGCAGGAGGCTTCTCACCGAGTCACTCGGCCTTGTCGCCACAGTCATCACGGCCAATGGCATTGTGGCGGCTCCTGTGTAACCCAAGTCCAGGGTGGCTATCAGGTGGCCCAGGGGGTTCGCTGCAGGGACGGGACCATGTCACATGGAGGGAGCCTTTCTGAAGCTCTGCAGAGGAGCATGGTGGTACGCAGGTGCCCCTGCTGAGATGGTGGCCCCCACAGGCAGAGACCCTTGAGAGGAGGCGTTTTGTCCTTCTGGGTGAGCAGGCATGGGTCTCATCCTGTAGCTGCCCAAGGACAAGAGACCAGGCTGGAGTGCTTGTTGCTGAGCACTGTGCAGAGAGGAGGTATGCTCTGGTTCCCAGGGCAACAGCTACAAGGAAAAGCAGGTTTTGACAGAAGCAAGTTTGGACAGCTGAGTGGGGAGCCCCAGTCTCCTACATCCACTGAAAGCCAGATATAAAGAGCACAACTGGCAGCAGGGCCTGATGGGGGACTCAAAGGTGGCCTTGGCCAAGGATGAGGAGAGGAAGGGGATACAGCGAGAGCTGGGGTGGACAGACATTAGCATTAGGATAAGCAGCACCCTGAGCCATAGAGCATCACTGTCCATAGCGGGGAACCCTTAGCTCAGACGCCAAGTGAGTGTCTGAAAGTGTCTAAGACCCTGCAAGGCCTGTGCCAGGCCAGAGGGGAGAAGGGGACACCAAGAGGTGAGGCCATCCAGCCTGATGCCCAGGTCACGGAAGCTGGGACTTCAGAAGGGAGTCTAGCTTGCTTTCCGTGAGATGGTGCCACAGAGGACCTGAGCCAGCAAAGCTGGTCAGATGGAATGATGGGGACCCAGGTGGCCTGGCAGGGCTTCTGCAGGGTGTAAGCCATGATGGCCACAATACCCCATCCATGAATGTGCAGAAGAGAAAGCCTGGCCAGGCAGAGTAGATGTGAAGGCGGGGTGAGTCTATAGCAGCAGCCCAGGGAGCCAAGCAACAAATTGAGGCTGTCCTGGTTTGACTCTATCTGTTTTCCCACCTCCCTGCTCCAGTCAACCCATGGCTCAGAGTTTGGATGTGTCCATTTCCTCCAAACTTGGACTTGCCAGCCCAGGACAAACCTCTGTTCCAGATAGGGACAGGAGAAAATACCCGACAATTCCTTCACTTTGATCTGTGTGCTGGAGGTGACAAGCATCTCAGAGGACAGTGCGGAACATCCTCTCATTCCTGAGCCCGAGGGCCAGCACCACCACAATCTGCAAAGGGGACTGTGTGCCCAGATGCCCTGACCATAGCCCCGCGTGAACAAATAATACCAAAGAGGCACATGGGTAACTGACAGCCATCATGAAGTCATGTTGACAGTGACATCAGACACAGGTCCAAGGTCAAACTGCTCTCCCAGGGTGACCATTCGTGTAGCAGGATGTCTAGAAAAAACTACTCAGTAAGTGCCCTACAAACCAATTCCATCTGGGTTGGAAAAGAGCCTTCTGGAAACAGAGACTTGACCATGTCTGGGGCTGGCACATGACCCTCAGAAGAACAGGTCTCCCATCCTGGTGAACTCTGGGGACGGGACCCTCTGACACCACCCATGTGTGGCTCAGAAGCAGGGGTTAAGCAAGCAGGGCATTTCCTGGCCAACACAGGTACAATGCCCTGAAAGATGTTTGCTGTTTAGAAGAGAAAGATAAATCAAACTGAGGCCCTCCTAGGCCACACATCTGTTTCCCCCCGTCCCCTCTGAGCAATGAGTTCTAGTTCTAGACTTTCAAATTCAAGGTGAGTTGTTTGATTGTGAAATTATTGCATCTCTTCAATCTCTTTAACTGTCCCAGCGAAAGGACAATGGGCTTGGAGGACCCCACGTGACAGAGGCCAGGGAAAGGCAAATGCTGACCTGTGGTTTCTAGAAAAGAAATAGAGAGAAAAGAATACAGAAAGAAAATTGGTGGCTATCAGAGCAGGGGCAGGGAGAGGAGGTGGAGGTGCAGCTGGGACACACAATGACCAGCAGAGTGGTCCCTGTACAAAACAGAAGCTGCAGAGCGAGGCGAGTCTGGGCTGGAACTCCCCTGAGGGGATTTTGATACCATGACAGAGGCAGTTACTTAAGATATTGATTTGAGCATCACCGTTGGACTATTTTTTTCACCAAAACAGCAGGCTGGGAAAGCAAAGTCAGGGCTCAGCACAGTGCAAGACCCTGGGGAGGTCAGAGTGTTCACCCTAGGTATATGCAGTTAAAAATGAAAGACATATGACTGGTGAGAGAGCTCAGCAGTCTAAAGCACCTGCTCAGGCAAGCTTAGGCAGGTGCAGGAGACCATGGTTTGATCCCCAGCACCACAGGCCACACCAGCCCTGCCCTCAGGACTGGCTGAGCCAGCCAAAAAAGAAAAAAGAAAAAAAAAAAAAAAAAAAAGGCAGGGCCAGGGATCTAGCTCAGTAATATACACGCCTGCCTGGCAAGTGTTTGAGTCCCAGTACCACCACCACCAAAAAAAAAAAAAAAAAAAAAACAGCAAAGAAAAGACTTATTATCAAAAATATAACAAACTCCCACATAAAGGTGAAATGTTGAAACATTTCCCTCTAAGACAGAGAATAATGCAAGAAGATGCACTAAAATTACAGCTATTTAGCATCTTATTGGAGGTCCAAACTAATTCCACAAAGCTAAAAAGAAAAAAGAAAATAAAATAGAAAATAAGGCATAAAGAAAGGGAAGAAAAGAGGGAGGGCAGGAAGGCAGTAGATGGGGAAGGAAGAAAGAAAGGAGACAGCGAAATGTAAAGAGAAAAATTTGAAGAATATGTAAGAAAAATAAAACCATCATTAGGGACTAAATCATTTTAATATAAAATATTTTCAAAATTCTAAAGGCAAGTTACTTTGTTTACCACATACAATATTATATATATATATATATATATATATATTTTATGACTAAGGGGATCAGTCTCAAGAAAACAGGCTGATTTTAACATCACAAAAAATAAATCCACTGAGACCCAGTCCTAGCCCAGGTCCGGCGACTGTGCGGAGAGTTTCCTGCTACCCTGCGCCGGCGGGACCAGTCCCAGCCCAGGCGCACCGTGGGCCTGACCCTCTTCCAGCCCCTCGGGCCGCCCCCCACCACTCCGCAGTGCCTCCCCCACCCCGCCCGCCGAGTAGGATTTTCTGCCGAGACCCAGTCCTAGCCCAGGTCCGGTGAGTGTGCGGAGAGTTTCCTGCTACCCTGCGCCGGCGGGACCAGTCCCAGCCCAGGCGCA